TATATATATATATATATATATATATATATATATATATATATGTATGAATTAGATAATTCGTTTTAAAAAAAAAAAAATCGTGGGACAATTTCTAGATTTTTTTCTTTAAAAATTAGAAGAATTTTTTTAAAGAAAATCGAAGATCAGTAGAATCCAACCTAACCTAACTAATTAATAGATAGCTACAGGATATTAATTTCATTATAATTCTATATTCTATAATAATTTTATCAAAAGATGCATGTAAATAAAAATTTATCAGTCGAAACCAAGTGCTAAATTAATTAAAAAAAAAATGCATGACTAAAATTATTACAATTTATACTACTATACCAGATATTATTTGAAGATGTCCTTTTGAGCTTACATACACTTTATCGTCATTCAACAGATGTAAAAAAAAGCTCGTACAGGACATTGAACTGCTTCCTGCGCGAAACGAAAATATCAATTGGCAATTATTTTTCTTCTTAACAGGCTCAAAAAAATATATTCTTATATACTCGTGATAGATTAAATTTAATTCTCAATGCATTTTGCTTCGCGTAACTTTAAGAAGATTATTTTATATATATATATTCTTTCTCGTTATATATTTTAATTCTAAATAACCTTTTTATTAAGAGATTATTAATAAAATTAAAAAAAAAAAAAGAAAAATTTTCAATGTAATTTTTCTTTCTCCTTTTTAAATTAAATTCGAAACTAATAAATTTTTTCCTTTCGAACATCAACATGCTATATATAATAATAATCGTGTATTACTCGTGATTTTCAATAAATTTTTACATCTAATCATTTTCACTTTTTTAATCGAAGCAAAAATGTTTCTCACATTACGAAAATTACCGGTATCGCCATTATCGCGATACTGCATGCTAATAAATATAACTATGTAGCTACTGTTTGTCCTGTTCGTAGGTAAAGAGAGCTCTCCTTCCCTTAACAAACTATTATTAATTTTCACGATGCTTAATGGCGACGTATTTACGATCATTTATCATTAGCAGGAAGCAGAATATCGCGTTTCACATTTAATCCTTTAACCCTTTAACCGAGTCATAACTCGCCACTTGAATCAACCTTAAATCTCTTAATTATCCCTTTTTTTTCGTATCTCGTATATAATTTTCTGTTGAAAATAAATTATTCTTATTTTTTTTTTTTTTTTAAGGATAAGACAGAATCATTTCCACTATTACTCTTTCCAAAGAATCTTTTCTATTAAAGTAACTTTGTTGATTTTGAAATTTATTCGCTTCCAGATCTCATGTATCCCTTCTGTAATTAAATTAAATCTTAAATCTTCTTTAACTTTTTTTTGTACAAAAATGGACAAGCGAATAAATCTTCCACGTATAAGAAACAATTGAAGAATTTGAGATCTTTCAATTAATTTTGATTTTGGCGAGAATGTTGTAAATGATTCTGGATGAACAATATGATCCGGTTAACAGGTTAAACAATCTCTTCTCTTCTATTCCAATAAGCATACACCCACGCGCATACTATAATATAATTTATCCACACTGAGACACACGCACAAACAGTCAACGATGGCGCATCTTATCTAACATTCGCAGGATTTTTCCTGTAACGAGCGACATTTTAGTAGCTGCCTTAATAAAAATTCTACACCATTCTCGTCGCGTGATACGCGAAGAATGTGTAATCTCTGTATTTTTTTTTGTGTTTCAACGTGCAAGCGGCTATTCCGACTGGAATTAAGAAAAACTATGACCATCAATTTTTATTTCTTCTTTGTGTGTGTTTGTGGGATTACTTCTCGTTCTGTTACTTTTGGTTGTTTTTTTTTTTTTTTTTTACCTTTTTTTCTTTTTTTATTTTTATTAATATTGCTCGACAGTGTGTAGTAAATAAGAATACTTGAAACTATTGTAATATTGGAAAGTATAAAAATTTTTGAAAATACCAACAGATCCCCTCTTCTTCCCTTTCAATTCTTTGATTCTCGTGATCAAAGAATTGAAAGGGATTATTTCGACAGTGTAATTAATGGATTTCATCGTTTCGATTCAAATTGTTCTGCTAGCATCATGGGGCAAGTAACAGATCTCTGATGATTCCATAAATAAATACACGACAAACATACTCGATTACACTAAAAGCCAACATGCTTCAAACTTGCTAATAAAAATTTCTCTTCTTTCTTACTTCTTTCTTCCCCTTCATTCTCTATTGTTATTTCTTTAATTCACAAGCTATAAATAGAATATTGAAATCAACTTGAAAAATAGGTGTAACACAACGTGATGTATCCTCATAAATTTGTATCGGTACACAATCGAATAAATAACGAACACAGATATGTATATATAAATGTCCATAGAGAGGATATTATCAAGTTGTGAAGAAAAAAATTTACAGAATTGGCACGGTGAATACAGTTCACCATGGATGAAGTGAGCCATGTCCAGGCTCGTTTCCGGTTCACCCCCTTCACCAACGTCCACGCTAAGACCTTGAAATTTACAAGGTCATACGTGGAGAACGGTGGAGGGGGTCTGGCCGCTATGCTTGATCCACCTCGTGACAGACCTCCATATAGTCTGGGTTGTGCATTATATCCTTGATCATGTCCTTTAGGATTGGGTAACGAGGAAAGATTGGATACACTTTTGAGCTATTGTACTCCTCCTGTAGCAGATGATATATTAATGTTATCAAGGTGACAAATTGGATCTTGATTGTAGAGTTGCATAGAGTGATAATTGGGAGAGGAAGATGAGAAAATTTGTGTGTTCAATCTTCCTTGGTTGGAGAGAGATTGGTAATATTTGCTTTTAAGTTTAAGATATTTTATCTACAAGTTAGAATACTGGAATTGCTGTCATTTTTTGATTCTTATTGGGCCTAGATTTTAGATTTATAAAAAGCAAATAGGATTTCTTTGCTTTGTTTGTGAAAATTTAAAAGATTCATAGAACTCTTTTTATTGAAAAATAAAAAAATATCAGGTAGAGCATTTCAACTAAAGAAAAAAGATAAAAGTTGTGATTACAAATATATATTCATACTAGTATATAACTAGTAAAAGGTATAAATATAAATTTCATTAAGTTTTAATCATCAAATATTCTTATATATATATATATATAACTTGTTAATTTTCAAATATAATATAATTCTATATATTACTTTTCAAAGTATGTAACTTGATAATAATTCTTCTCATAAGTTTCTTTCCAATTCAAATAATATATATACAATAAAAAATACATGGGTAAATATATATACATATATATAAAATAAGATAGCATTTAATAATTGGATACTGATTAATTCAATTGAACAACACACAGGTGAGACAAGTTACAAATAAGAAATTCTTTCTTGACATTTTACAAATATGATGTAAGTCTACTGTTAATAATTCTTCAGAGTTGTTTCAAATATATTCTTGAAGATTATTTATTCATTACTTCACATTCAGCTTCGATGAATGTGCAAAAGGAAGAGTTAGTGGTACTTGGTTCACTTGTATATACCTTTAAGTCTCGGATGAGGTTTCTCAGTCCTGTATATTTTTTCAACAATCTATAAAGGTCGTTAGTCATTTGCGTGTTCTCTGCTTCGATTTGGGCTGTTGTCATACCTGTGCATATTGAAACAAAGTCGATATAGAGGCAAATCAATAAGCGTAAGTTGCATTCGACTAAAACGAATTTTAACCTAAAATTTAATCCGTTAAATTTCGAACAATAAAACTGGCATTACTTTTATAAAATACAAAGCTAGTATTATTTTACTTTAATAAAGATATTACGACTTCTCTATGAGGATAAATTTGATGTACGTACAATAATGTTGAATGACAATATCGTCAGAATACCATAACCGATCTCTTCTTGTACCTATCGAGCACGTATGATAGCACGTAATATATTATTCATGCTTGGAAACTTTCCAACCGACAGGGCAGCCATCGAGTTGTGTCTTTTCCTCACAATTTGTCCAACAATTTGAAAGATTGCTCGTGTTTTATTTTCTTTTTTCATAAATTTGATCTTTTCTTTTATTTACATTATTGAAAAAAATTATAAACCTAAAATTTTAACCATCTGTCTTGTCCACGTTTCTCTTAATACGTATGTATATATATATACAGAGAAAGTTATTATATTTATGGACGAACTTTGAAAGGTTTATTCCAGATAAATTCCAGATCAAGAAAGCAGTTATCAAGCAATTTAAGTTGGATGAAGCGAGAGTGAAATAGAACCAGATGCTCGTGTGACAGAGATAGCGCCATCTAAGGTAAAAACTTTAGCACACTTAGCATTTTTGTATTCTTTTATCTCTAAGGAATTGATCTTCTAAAGGTGAGTAATCTGATGATATATTTTTAAGAAAAATTTTAACTCACTCTCGAGTCTTTCAATGCGTTCTCTCTTGGTTTCAGCTTCTTCGGCCAGCCGGGCCGAAGTCTTCACACCTTCCCCGCTTTTGTGGGTCTTCTCCATAATGGAACAGGCGCGCAGGACAAAGGCAGGCACGGTCTCCTGTTTCTCCTGCTTCGGTATATCCACCAGGGTCCAGTATTGGGTCTCCAACTTGATCACATCCTCAAAAAGAAGAGAGATTTTTTATTAAAATTAGCCTAAACTTTCAGATTCAAACATTGAATTAGATTATGAGAAATTGAATACACAGAAAAAGAAATTTTTAGATGATTTGAATTGATTGAAATTTGGATTTTAGAATTTTAGATTGGTTAGATAGAGATTTAATTTTCTCAAATTTTATAAGTTTTTTTTTAATTTCATAATTGTGTGAAATATGTTGTGATAGGTAGAGTTTTGTTCATATTTCTTAAGAAGAAAAAAAAATTTTGGGTTACCTTGATCATTAGTTTCAAGAGGTTGTAACGTTGGAACACGTTGCGTACTTGCTTGCTGTCGGTATATTTGCACATAAGTTCAACGAGGGCACGTTTAGCAATCTCGTAACTGCCATCGAGGCGTATCCTCACGATTCTTAGTCTCTCGTTCGTTTCAATCACCTCTTCCTTAGTTTGTCCACCTGTTCAAGAGGTTCAAGAATTTGTTTAAAATTTTTCTATTAAAAAATTCTACTAAAACACTTTCCTGTTATACACGACAAATCAATATTGATCATTAGTTACAGATTTTCTGTTTTCAAGATTTTTATTCAGAAATATAATTATTATACATATTTGGTTACTTTCATAATATTGGGTTAATTCTGTGCCCAGTAATGATTTTTATTAAAATTTGTAAATTGATTGAATATCTAACATTCGTCAGAATATTCAACTTTTTATTTTTATTACAATATGATATTTAAATTATTTTAAATACATTAATAATATGCATTAAAATATTAAGTATATTAATGTATACAAGTCCATAAAAAAATCCTATTAAATACCATTAATCTTCATATTAAAAAAAAAAAATAAAAAAGATGTATCTTTCAATTAACAATGATTTACAATAACGGAGAGAAAAGTTTTATTATTACCATTATTAATATTACAGATTAAAAATAAAAAAATAAAATTTTCATTATTATTATTACCATCATTATTTATAATCGAAGAAAAAAATGAAGAGTACTGGATAATAAAGGGACTAAAGTTGCCTTGTCACGAGCATCGCCATTACTTCATATCCATTCTTTGCCCTTAACCCTTTGCCGATCCTCGAACATTAATAAGCGATGCAATCTCCACATACACATGCACGTGCAAACACGTTGTGTGTCCATTCACCAAGCTGGTTTAATAACATTATTGCTTTCAGCCGTATCGTGTACGCCTAATGAGAAAATTGATGTTGCCGCTTGGTTACAGGGAATTCGTTTCTGTTTTAATTAAACCTCTCCTTTATTGCCGTTGAAGGAGGTAAGTGCATGCTTTATTCGACGATTTATGTTAAACGAATTATTGGTTAATAATTAATAATGATTATTAATATTTCAAATATTTATAACGAGATGGAGCAAAGTTGTAATTAATTTTTTAAATATTTTCCGCCCCGTTATAAAAAGATATTTCCAGGCGAAGAAATAATAAATATCGAGTTTTTTTGATGGGTCGATTTCGATTTTCCATCAAAGAGAATTTCCAAAAAAATAATTTCTTCTCGTTACAACGCAATTTCATATAAATTCACTGAAATTTCATAATTTCATAATTTCTTTAAAATTAAAATTTTTTTTAAATTTCCTTCCTAAGATATCCTCCCTCTAAATTATCAATTATCGATCCAGTTAATAAAATATAATATTATTTTTATTCGGTCGAAAGTAATTTAATTCGAGAAAGGTACACGAATCGTTGATCCGGCTTTAACGAATTTATCCCAGAGGAAACGTTCGCGACTATTCCAAGTGCAAATACCACTCTTGACGCGTCGTTATATCAACTGACCGGGTGTAAAAGCTTCTGCTTCAATTCCATTCATGAGCTAACAGCCGACCACCACCTGGCACTCGGCCAATACCTTATTTCCAACAGTTGTCTGTGCACGAACATCTTCTTCGTCCCGGCTCTCTTACATTCGCGAACAAGTGCTTCGAGAAATCGAAATCGAGAAAGAGGAATAACTTTTTGAGATTTTTCTTTTTTCTCATTTGTTTAACGCGAAATAAAAATTCAAATCAAATTTTCGTGTAAATTTATGAATTAAAGGGAATATTCTTGGGCTCGAACAATCATTTTTATAAATTTTTAATCATCGGTAATTTAAAAACAAAGTCGAATTTTTTTATTCTCTTAAATTATCCCTTAAATTTTTTTTAATCTATTTTTTAAGGATAGTATATTTTATTTTAGAAACTTACTCGATGTTCCTTCATCCTTTACATCTTGGACGATTCTTCGGACACTTTGTGTAAATTTGCCCATAAGATTTGTGCCCGCTGAAAAATATTAAAAAAACAATTATATAATTAAGAAATGCAAATAAACAAAGATTAGAGATTTTGTTAAAAAAATATATCGGAAAAGTTTTTTCTAGATTTCTGTCTAAAAAGTGTTTATCAAATTTTTATTTGATTGGAATGATAATACAATAAAATTTTATTAATCAATATTTATTCATATATTGAAATAACTCGATACGATAACTATTTTTTTTTTTTTTTTTACGTTCAATATATATCTAAATTAGTGTATTAATAACAGATGGTAACATATAGTAAAATTTCAAATGGCTCGTTTTCAGTTCATCCTCCGTGAAAGCAGAGAAATGTGCAAGGAATCCTGTACATATTTTTCAGTGGGTAAAACATTTTTGTTAGAAAGGGGGAAATGTGTGTTGGTGCACATCTATTGGTCGGTTGACATAAAACGCGATAGGGCAGAAGAGCGAATAAAGCTTCTTAGTCGTAAAACATAGAACTGTCCTTAAGACCGCCGAAGTAGGCTTTTAAAAGCATTTGAAGCTTTCTCTGGAAGATAACCTATTGTCCATAATACTTGGGAGACTTCTGTAAAAGCACCACTGTCAGATATACATCAGACTTAACAGTTGGCAAACTACTCTCTTGAAAGTGTACACAATTTTAGTGAGAATATTCTTATGTTGGTATACTGAAAAGATGGCACTCAAGATTGTACATAGTCAAGATATTATAGTTAGGTTAGATTAGCTTAAGTTTACACGTTTATAAAATATTTCATTATTACATAGGATCATTTATATTTTATAAAAATTTGAAATTTAAAATTGTTTATTGAATTTATAGAATTTGATAGAATTCCATTGCTCGAGTTTTAAATTGTTTTGCAAAAAAATTTTATATATATAATAGGATATAATTGCATATTGTTGAAGCAAAATCACGTGGAAAATAAATGGTTTGTTAATAAGAGTATCCTAAATGATATATTTTACGTATTATATATCATTTGTTCAGTGCATTTATACGGTAAATCTGTGGTTGCATTTACGAGCAAAAGAGCATTATTTGGTATCGTTAGAAGAATATGATTTGCGTTCACGAACTTGGCTGGTTGCCAACATGGGATAACCTAAACTCGCGCCATTATTCCGCACAATGATCTCGTTAAGAGAATGATCGCGTTTTATCATTCGAAATTTGTAACAGTTCTTAACGAAATAATTTTTTTTAAATACTAATTATTTTTATAAATTTTTTTCTTCTAAAATTTATTCTAAAATTAGATTATTGTATGTAAAATGATTTTTAAAAAATTTCCTTTGATACTTTTTCAGTAATATTGTTCTTTATTTCACTTATTTTCATTCCATATTCTTCTTTACATTGTAGTATTAATATAATTAAAATAAATTCATGGAAAAAGATTATCTGTAAGCTTTAATTTTTAATACTCATTGCTGATAATTATTTTTCCACTTTATGGTCATTCTTCTACTTTGTCAATTTTTTTTATATTTTACAAGAAAAAAAGAATTATTTTTCACGGATGGTATCTGTGCAGAAAATTTAAATTTTAGAATGAAACCTCAATTTTCCTCCACGTTTCATATCTCGCGAGATTGGCGCGCGCGCCAAATTCAAATCGAACGTCAGCGCGTTGACACGTTTATCTTCAACCCGCCACTTGTTTAGTTTTGATTTTTGCGAGAAGTCTACCGTGAATGAAGACTGCACACATGCACATACACATTTGAGGTAGACACTTTGAGGTAAAGAAGGTGCCATCCTTAGATTGGTGCTATCAAGGGAATCGTGGAAGAGCTATGTCGTCCCGAATTTGTTTCCTTTCTGACTATTCGTAGAGTTTGGACATGGATATTGAAATTCATCACGGTGCCTTCTACGTGATGTTTCTATTTTCGAAACTTCGTCCTTCGCCTCGAGAAATAAGGAAAAAGTTTGGAAGTGAGATAAAATTGAAACACGTTTGACTAAACTTATCATTTATTGCATCCACGTAAAAATAATAATCGAACATATAATATTTCTTTTCTTGTATTTATAACAAATTCTATTTTTGCTTAATATTCAGTTGAGCATAATTACTTAATCTTTATGAAATTTTATTTTTTTATTCGATCTTTTGTGCTATAAGAATTATTTATTTTATATATGATATGAAATATATATCTTCTGATTTATCGAATGTTTGTACAATTAGCGATTGGAACAGAGATCTCAAGTACGAAACTTTCGTTTGCTTCCTCGGGCTAAGTGCCAAAATGCAACAAGCAAGTTCGATACACTCCTTTCGTTTGAAAGAAGAGACATCGTGTCCGATTCGTTTAAAGAGAATTCTAGTAATTTTCTAGTAATATTTTCTTCTTTGTGAAAAGAAGATTGAAAAGAAATTGTGCGTATAATTCTACTTCTTATAAAAAACGTGAGTTTTAAGAATTTTGAAAAATGAATATTTTAAACAATTTCATTTTCAAGTGAATACTTATTCTCGAACGACAGTAGCGCCACACGTAACAATTAACTAATAGTATTCAAATACTTATACGTACATTTATTCATTCAAGTTACGTTTGAAAAATTCATAAAAAAATTACTTCGATTAATACAATAATGCAATTCACTCGAATTTTAGAACACAATTTTTCTCATGATATGATCCAAATTAAAGCCTCGTTTACTACCGTTTTATGAACCATTGTGAACCAGTAAAGGTTTGGTCTTTTCGTTTATCGTTCGATACAGGCGAAAAGTTAAAACGATATAACCAGGATTGATCGTAAAATTCTCGTGACGAGTTCTCCTAAGTATAATAATCTGAAGGAGACAAAACGCGTCGAAATACTCTATTTTTTTTCTTCAATTTTCCAGATTTTCATTTTAATAACGGTAATCCCAGCGAATCGTTAAGGCTCGTAAGAGGGTCATTTGAGCTCTCTAACTTCAACCTTGGTTTAACGTAGTAACCACCGTTATACTCCTCGTAACTGTGCAACTTCCGGGGAAATTATAACGAAGTATATATAAGTATAGTTCAGTATATAGCTCGTTATGACTCTTTTTCACAGTTTAATTCGATTCTTGTTTTATGAAAGAGAATAGTGAGATTAGTTTTTGTTACATATGTATTACAGTTTTATTTCACGTAGCTTTTTTTTATATTGAAAGCAATTGTTTTTATCAATTACGAATGTAAAATGATAAAAAAGAAAAGATTTTTAACTTTAAGAATGAATACTACTTTGAATAAAAGGAAAAAAAATAAATTAATAAATATGACAAGATTCAAAAGATTAATATTTTTTTAGAATTATAAACAATTTCTTTTTTAATGTCAAAGACTGGCTAGAGTTTTATTATAACATTTTGGACAAAGAGAGCTTAAAATATAACCTTAATATAATAAAATTTAATTCCAATTTTGAAAGAAATTAAAATTAAATTAAAGCATATGTCTAATCATTGTCACTTGTAGATTACCGACTGATGATAATTAATCTAAATTATTATTATTAGTATTCTAATTTCAATTTTTTTTTTTTTTTTTTTATTTTTTAATTAATTCTACTTCTTATAAAAAACGTGAGTTTTAAGAATTTTGAAAAATGAATATTTTAAACAATTTCATTTTCAAGTGAATACTTATTCTCGAACGACAGTAGCGCCACACGTAACAATTAACTAATAGTATTCAAATACTTATACGTACATTTATTCATTCAAGTTACGTTTGAAAAATTCATAAAAAAATTACTTCGATTAATACAATAATGCAATTCACTCGAATTTTAGAACACAATTTTTCTCATGATATGATCCAAATTAAAGCCTCGTTTACTACCGTTTTATGAACCATTGTGAACCAGTAAAGGTTTGGTCTTTTCGTTTATCGTTCGATACAGGCGAAAAGTTAAAACGATATAACCAGGATTGATCGTAAAATTCTCGTGACGAGTTCTCCTAAGTATAATAATCTGAAGGAGACAAAACGCGTCGAAATACTCTATTTTTTTCTTCAATTTTCCAGATTTTCATTTTAATAACGGTAATCCCAGCGAATCGTTAAGGCTCGTAAGAGGGTCATTTGAGCTCTCTAACTTCAACCTTGGTTTAACGTAGTAACCACCGTTATACTCCTCGTAACTGTGCAACTTCCGGGGAAATTATAACGAAGTATATATAAGTATAGTTCAGTATATAGCTCGTTATGACTCTTTTTCACAGTTTAATTCGATTCTTGTTTTATGAAAGAGAATAGTGAGATTAGTTTTTGTTACATATGTATTACAGTTTTATTTCACGTAGCTTTTTTTTATATTGAAAGCAATTGTTTTTATCAATTACGAATGTAAAATGATAAAAAAGAAAAGATTTTTAACTTTAAGAATGAATACTACTTTGAATAAAAGGAAAAAAATAAATTAATAAATATGACAAGATTCAAAAGATTAATATTTTTTTAGAATTATAAACAATTTCTTTTTTAATGTCAAAGACTGGCTAGAGTTTTATTATAACATTTTGGACAAAGAGAGCTTAAAATATAACCTTAATATAATAAAATTTAATTCCAATTTTGAAAGAAATTAAAATTAAATTAAAGCATATGTCTAATCATTGTCACTTGTAGATTACCGACTGATGATAATTAATCTAAATTATTATTATTAGTATTCTAATTTCTAATTTTTTTTATTTTTTTTTAGTTAAATTATTTTTTATTCAATTTTAAATGTCCAAACATTTCCTGACATATCTCGTACATACCAAAACTATGAAATTTCTCTGCGTACATGCAGATGACGTTCCTCGCGCTGTTGGTCTAATTATTCCAGAAATTAAGTACACTCGTGCGCGCGTAATCCTTTACCCGCATATACCATAGTAGTAGTAGTTGTACTCTTTGAATCCATCCTTGCGTATTTAACGTGCCGCATTTAAAATTATTCTGATAAAGGGAACTCTAATTGCGAAACGATAAATTTATATGTTCAATCTAGTTTGTGCTTTGTTCACACTACATCAACACTATTATTATGTTATATGGAATGATGAGAAATCAAATTTCGTAAGTTTTAGGTTAAGTTGCGTTTTACACGTTGCTTTTGTGGAATTACTAGATGAAATTTTTTTTTTTCTCTTTCCTTTTATACTTTTAAATACTTTTTAATGCTTTGTTAATTTTCTGTCCATTTAATAAATTTCTAGAACTGGAATTTTAGATGTTTAAAATATAATTCAAAATGCCCAAAACTGATTTTTGATCATATAATAATTAACAAAGCATTATTGTATGTGTTTTTTTTTTTAATGGATTAGGCATAAAAGAAACTATTAATGCGATCATTGGATTGTCATCAATCAAAAAATTTATAATATAAAATTATAATTTTTCGAAAATTATATTTTTTATCCAAAAAAATATTTCCAATAATTGTTAAAAAGTTTTAAGTAAAAGGATTAATTGTATTTTTTTTAAAATACAATATTTCTTTGAATTTTTAATAAAAATATCTAGAAAATTAAAATATTTCTTCTAACCTTGTAAAAATTATATTTTTTTATTGGTTTTTATCAATTATTTCAAGTAACTATCTCATCCTTTCCTCTTATAGTTAAAAATACTTCCTGTTAAGTTTTCCATTTCCATTATACATTATGCATTCAAACAATAATAAGTAAGTAGATATAATTCAGGGAGAAAGGCAGGTAAAAGGCGTTCAATGGGAAATATTAAGGTGGTTAAAGTGGCATTAAAATGACTGAAATCTTTATTTCAAAAGAACTTCTTGCAACAGTTTCATTGAACCCTATTCCATTTCATCTTCTTTGATGCTTAATAAAAAGAAGAATTATTTTCTTATATAAAATGATTTTTTAATCATCTATTAACTAGTGTGATCTATTAACTTTCAATTTTTTTTATTTCTTATTTTCAATGCATTTTTATTAGTATTTATATTATGTATAAATTTATTTAAAAATAAAAGTCAAAGTATTTGATATTTTTTCTATATTTATACTTTATATTATTTTTAATACTTTGTAATACTTTTTTCACTGTTATAATTATATAAATTCATCACTTTATTGATTTTATATTTACTAAATATTCTAATATCTATAATAATTGCATGACTGTATGGTACATTTTATGTACAAGTAGTATATACTTAAACTGAATATCATCTTGTCTGACCATATATGAAACGTAACTACTTAAATTATGAATAACAAAGATACAAATAATTCTTTTAATGATTATTAAACATTGAAGATGTATAAATTAAATATATAATTTAATATTATATTTAATAATTTTCAAATTTATATTTATTCAATTTTAAATGTGGTACAGGTTAATTGTAGAATAAGTTACAAATGAATGAATGAAAACACACAATCTCTCTAAATAAATTAAAATGATCTTCAATAAATATCATTGTTATAACAAAGAAGAGGTATAATTTATATTGCAATATATTATAATTGAAATTTTAAAGCTTTCTAATTAGATATTAATTTAATAAAATTATAGTTGGTATTTGCATTACGAATTTATTAATATATCTGAAACACGATATACTCGTGATGTTTAATCTTGAAATGATAGTATTGTGGCTCGTCCACCACAGCTACGTGATATTATTGCAGGATTTAAGGGAATAAAGGAGCTTTGAAAGTTAAAATTGAGTATTAGGAGCGTGAAGCTGATATAGCGCTAGAGATTTTTCCTTTAAAATGGACGTGTCACGCTCGAATATAGAGCATAGAAATATACGTGGTTCCTAGTTTCGAACAAAAAATATATATATTTTTTTATTGAAAAAGAAAGTTGTTTTTCTTTAATTTTTTAGAAAAATATATACTTTCTCAAAAGTATATTATATTTTCACTTCGGATATTAAAATAACAGATATCGATATAATTTTTTTCGAAATTCAAAAGCAAAACTTTATTTCATGATATTTCAATTCCACCTCAATTTCGAACGCTTCAAAAAATTCCCTCCAACTCTCCAATTTAAAGTGAAACAATCCGTTTACTTCGTAACGCACCACTATTTTATTCATCCATATTTTTCAACCTAACCTAAACCAACTAACCTCCAAAACTCGCGTCAAACAACGAGACGATCCAAAGGTAACGACTTTGGCGCGAAATTTGAATAATAAAACAGTCTCCAAATGCGTAGAAGGCAGGGAAAAAGCAGGTTCGGCTTTTGTTCACGCTGTCCGGTGCTATTGCGACCGAGCTTTGAAAATCAGTAAACTGTGCTTTTTATCGGGGCCGCTCGAGCAGGGATCAAACGTATCGACCGCAATTCTGCGGTTCTCGTACGAGATCTCGCGATGGGGAGGGGATGAGCGCGAGTATGCAGATCACGGATCTAATTACCAGATACGAGCATCGAGAGCCACGAAAATTGGTCATCCGTGAGGCGTCCAATTTATTTTGCGGTCGGATTTCACGCTCCTTCGCCGGTTGGATGATGATTTTATTGTTTAGAGCGTGAAAAGAGGATTGAGTGAAGGATGAAAGGATGTGCCTGTTAATTTATCTTGTAAACATAACCTGCAAAATTTGTTTACTTGACTTTGTACGTACAATAATAAATATCCTTTAATCTAGTTTTCGTTTCAGTTTTGAATAGTGAACGTTTATGGTATATTCTATGTAATCTGTTTACAGTTAATCTTGTAAGAAGATTCTTTAATTGCTCTTTTATATTTTCTATCACGATGCATTGAGTGTGATTATACATAGTTTCTTGTAAAGGATTCTTCAGAGGTAAAAATAAATATGAAAAATGATTAGGAAATAATAAATGAGATATTATGGAGATTAATTTGTGCAATAATTTTTAATCCGATCGTTTTTATCTTTTATCAAGAATTTGCATAGAAATCATTTTTCGCTTGTGGAATATAGAATACACGTTTTATAATACGCGTGCGAAGAAGAGAAGTGGCAAAAGTGACGACGAGGATTTTTGTTACGACTTGTGACACACGAACTGATGATTATCAAAGCGAAGTTTATATCAAAGTTGGATCGGCTAATGTTACAGGAAGCTGTAATCTTCGCCAATCAGTTTTTAGAGAATTTAAATAATATTAATAAATTTATGTTGGTATTAATTTTTAAATAATAATGAGAGAATTTGAGAAATTGTGATCCGCCATTGAGATCGACCAACATCAATAGTTAACAAGATTTGGAAGGTTACGTTGCACAGAATTTCGTGGCTGGATCTGAAGATCCTTTTGTCAAAGCCCATCCCCAAAGAGGAAGCTCTCACTTTGTGGTCTGCAAATGGCTACGAAATTTGTGCTCCCCAAAGTACTCTCTCCTGACATATGTCCAGTTACACAACAAAAGACTGAATACTTAACATTTTGTTTGTACACTTTTGACGGATTTGAACAATTTGTTTGACAAATTTTTTTTTATATAAAAGAATTCAGAATTTGGTCGAATTTTATTAAATATAAAAGAATCGTAAAAATCGTATATTAATGGATTTTAAATTAATAAAATGACATAATATATCGAGAAATTTTCTCGTTATAAATTCGCAGAGAGAAAATTTTATATAAATATTGGTGACGAACGAGAACATAAAAAAAAAGAAAATGGAAATAAATAAATCCGAAAAAAATACGATCTTCAGATATTAAAACAGAAATAAAAATTACAAAAATTTCCAATTATACAATTTCCCTTTTGAAAATTCGCAAACGGAAAATATCAAATTTTACATACGAATAAATAGAATAAATGAGGACCACCTAAATATATTGAATTCAAACGAGCAGAAAATTCGAAATTAAATAAAATCGAGGTATTTTTAACGTCGTTTTAAAATTTTGGGAGGATCGATGAAAATTTCAATTAATAATATCATAAGTTTTTAGAAGAATGTCTCTTCGAAGGTAGGCTTTCTCGAATCTCGATCGTTAAAAAGAAAGTTTGGCGAGAAGCAGAAAGAAAGTTTATCGGGTGAATTCGAAACGGTTGTGCGTGGATAACAGGCTTGGAGGCAGGAAGTCGATAAACGAGCGACATCTAGCGCGTTGCTACGCTCGATATTTTCTCTTTCAGCCAGAAAAATGTCGGACCCGATACGAGGGATCGTTTCTCCGTGAGATCGTACGATGATTCCTTCCGACACCCGAGGAAATATCCCTTCTTCCTTTCTCTCTAATATCACTCGAAACGATGAATTTTGTATCAGTTGGATAGAAATGCAATGTCGTAGAACCTGATTATTAAACTGTTTCACATTTTTCCTATAAAGAAAATGAAATTTAATGTTATAGAACTTGATTATTAACCTGTTTCATTCTTCTTATAAGGAAAATGAGAAGAAAAATGTTTCATTACACAATATGTACAATATATATATATATATGCATAATAATCAAATTGGATAAAAGTGTGATTATTAAATTGTTTCACATTTTTCCTGTAAGGAAAATGAGAAGAAAAATGTTTTATTAGACAATATAATAATCAAGTTGGATAAAAATATATGATATATAAATTTGATTATTAAACTGTTTCACATTTTTTCCTATAAAGAAAATAAGAAGAAATATGTTTTATTACACAATATAATAATCAAGTTGGAGAGAAATTTAATATTATAGAACTTGGTTATTAACCTGTTTCATTCTTCTTATAAGGAAAATGAGAAGAAAAATGTTTCATTACACAATATGTACAATATATATATATATGCATAATAATCAAGTTGGATAAAAATGTGATTATTAAATTGTTTCACATTTTTCCTGTAAGGAAAATGAGAAGAAAAATGTTTTATTAGACAATATAATAATCAAGTTGGATAGAAATGTTATAGAACTGGATTATTAAACTGTTTCACATTTTTCCTATAAGGAAAATATATAATATGATAATCAAATTGGATAAAAATATGATATTATAAGAATTTCATTATTAAACTGTTTCACATTTTTTCTATAAGAAGAAAAATGTTTTATTAGACAATATGTATAATCAAGTTGGATAGAAATGTTATAGAACTTGTTTATTAAACTGTTTCACATTTTTCCTATAAGGAAAATGAGAAGAAAAATGTTTTATTAAACAATATGTATAATACATACATATGCACAATAAAAATATGTATTTGACCCTTGTTGTATGAAGTATACTTATATATCTTATTTGGTTTCACTACAATGAAAAATAATGGATACAAGTATCACAAATTATCAGAGAAGATACAGAACTTACATCTCGATTCGTTCACAATTTTTATAACCGCTATCTTGAAATTTTCCATACCCGTTCAAGTTTCCATTGAAGCAGGATTAGTAACGAGTGTTATTAACCCACGAAGCCAGGCCAAACCGAATCAGTGATGTTATTACGATTATTAAACCGCGATTATTGTGGAACGCAAATCGAATTCGAATCGACACATCTTGTTTGCTGTACCAAGTTCCAGCTTTAATCGAGCTTAATTCGCGGCGGTAAATGTATTTCACTTCAGTAATAATAATAATAATAATAATAATAATAACAATAATAATTGAGAATTAACGCAAGAATCGGCAAATATTTGACTTCCTCATGGCTTCGAGTGAAATCATTACTCAAACACGGATCCCAATGATAAGAGCTTACTAATGCAGAAGTTGAAACAAAGATTCTTAAGCGATGCTCAACCAGATTCGTTGGTTTGAAGAGATTGGATTGTTATAAATAGACGATTCAACGATTTACAGATTTTTTTTTTTTTATGATGGTTTGGTTAATACATTTCTTATCTTTCTTTTATACAATACTACTACACGTGTTTTCTTTTCAGGTTAAATAATTCTTTCAATCAAATGATTTATACACATTTATATATTCTTCCTTTAAATTAAATAACTGGATTGTATATTTGTAATTGGAAAATTTTTCTGATTTATTTATTTTTCCCATTAAAATCAGAAAATTCGCCTATCATATTTTCTTTTCAAGTTAAACAATTCTTTAAATTATTTAACATTTGTACAACAATTCTTCCTTTGAATTGAACAGCTGGATTAAATTTTGTAATTAGGTAATTAGAAAATTTGTCTAACTTATTTATCCTTCGAATATTAAACTGAACTGAATCAAAATTTTTAATCGCATCTAATAAAACTTGTTAATCCTAGGAATATTTCCAGGAAATGTGCAATTTAGTGTCCATCCAATGAAAATTCAAACGGTACAGCTCGGTATTCCACACATAGCTGAATACATCGTGTCCAAGTTATGTGGAATAATATGCGCGATTGTTGAGCTTTTTGGCTGCAAATGTTTATTGCACGGCCTTTAAACTCGTTGATCCCCAATTTGAACTAACTTGCTAACTTCTCCTTATTCATATTATATTATTACCGTCTCTCTCCCTTTACGCCATTTCGTGGAATTGTTCTTTAATATTATAAGAGCGGATTGAACGTGGAGAGGAACACGTGAAACGTGTTATTAATTTTAATTTTGAATTTGTAAGGGGGTCGAATGGATCTGCGTTATAATATCAGACTGAAAATCGAAAACTGGATGGAACATTTGAATAAAAATTCTAGTAGAGGAGAGATCTAGTGATGTGTGAATGGATAATTAAGTAGAAACGTTACATTAGATGCCAATTCTTGAATATTATAATGTGAATAAAAAGAATCCAAAGTATTTCAATTTTTTGAAGCTTAGAGTACTATTTAATAGAGGAGCTATTGATGTGTTAATTAAGTAGAGACGTTACATTAGATGCCAATTCTTGAAATATTATAATATGAATCCAAAGTATTCTAATTTTGTGAAGCTTAGACTATTATTTAATAGGAGTTATTGATGTG